TGACCCTGTGTCTGTGGGACACCCCTCCCTCCTCAGTGACCCTGTGTCTGTGGGACACCCCTTCCTCAGTGACCCTGTGTCTGTGGGACACCCCTTCCTCCTCAGTGACCCTGTACCTCTGGGACACCCCTTCCTCAGTGACCCTGTGTCTGTGGGACACCCCTTCCTCCTCAGTGACCCTGTACCTCTGGGACACCCCTTCCTCCCCAGCTAGTATTCAGCCAGCCTCCCTGATAGATTATTTCCTTTGCTTGTAGAATTCTTGGGGTGCTTCACCTTAAAAACACACTAAAGCAGCTAACAGCCCTTCAGATCTTTCCTCAGCTTGCCACTGGCTCCCTTCTGTTCCTTTTCCAACCATTTGAATCTTTTATTATTTTCACTCCAGCTCTTGACATTTTCCTTCTCTGAAAATCACGGAGGTTAGCCATCTTTCCCTTGGTATCGAAACAGCTGGCACCTAACTCCCTCCCCATCCCAAACTCACTCTCTGTGGCCATGGTGAAACCAAGGGAACTGCCTCCCCACCCCCATACCCTCTTCTGATTCTTTCTCTGCCTTGATACTATGCTGTCCCTAGGTTTCCTGTTCAGACATTTGAGTATTCTTCCCTCTTAGGATACTGTTGTCTAGCTAGTTGATAATTTTTGATACAGTATTTCTCAGTGACAAAAAAATCTATCTGAAAATGAAATGTGATTAATTTGTCTTGAACTTCTGTCAGTGACTTTAGTTCCTAATAAACCCCTCTTTTCTTTCATGCATGTTCAAGATAGAGATTTAATGCAGCATAAAGGTTCTCAAAAAAGCATATCCCTGTGAATAAAGGCCAACATCCATAATAGTGATTGTAAAAAAAGATGGTGTTTATGGCAAAATCCAGCTACAAATTTATTCTTATGAAAGTAGTTGTATGGTGCCTAATTTTAGTATAACTCATCTGTTCTCTTTACCAGATTTCCTTCTCAGTCAAATATGAGATGAATCAAGGAGATGCATTTGTCCAGACAGATGTGAGTACCTTTTGCCTTGTTAAAATACTTACACTACACTTCTAATTTTAAAATTTTCGGATGTAAATAAAATTGTGACAATAGATTTGCCCTGCACTCTTACCCTAACTTCCCCCTGATACAGAGATGGTAACCAGGAAATTAATATTGATGGAATCCTGTCAGTTAACCTGCATTGTGTGTGTGTGGCTATCACAGGTTTTTCTCTGTCATTCTTCAGATTTAATTGCTTTCAGTTGTCACATCTTCTGTGTGTCCTCCAGTCTAGAACAGTGCCCCAGTATTTCTCTGTCTTTCATGGCCATGATACTTTGTTAGCATTTATTAGTTAGTATTTTTTGACCATCAATTTGGATTTCTCTCGAAGTTTCCCCCGATTTAATTGAGTTTGTGTATTTTTATTAGAGATACCATAGGAGTGCATCAAGCCCTTCTCAGTGCATGGGTCAGGAGTGTGTGTGTGTGTGTGTGTGTGTGTGTGTGTGTGTGCATATGTTCACATGAAGGCCAGAGATCAACTTTAGGTATCTTCCTCTATATATTTCTTCCTTCCTTATTTTTTTAAGACAGTGTCTCTTAGTAAACTCACAGATTTGGCAAAACTAGCTGGCCAGCAAGCTGCAGGGACTGTGTGCCTCTGCATCATTGGGATCACGGCCCATGCACCATGCTTTTTATGTGGCTGTCACAGGGATCTGGGCGCCCAAACTAATGTCCTTTGTGCAGCAAGCACTTGCTGACTGAGCCGTCTCCACAGCGGCTGCCCTCTAATGCTGGTGCCCACTGGTGATGCTTGTCTGTAGCACAAATCCTAATTGGCCTCAATAAAAACCCTGAGTCAGATATCAGAATAAATGCTGAAAGATCAGAGAGACAAAGGAACAAGCCACAGCCACCTCTCACCTCACCAACTCCTTAGCCAAAAAAAAAAAAAAGAGAGAGAGACTGAGCTCCTGTCTCTTCCTGCCTTATTCCCCTCTCCTCCCAGCCATATCACGTCCTGTCTCCACCTCCCTGGTGCTGGGATTAAAGATGTGTGCCACCACTGCCTGGCTGTTTCTCTTTTAGACTAGATCAATCTTGTGTAGTAAGGGTGACCTTGAACTCACATAGATCCGTCTGCCTCTGCGTGAGATCCCAAATACTGGGATTAAAGTGTGTGCCACCACTGCCTGGCCTCTAAGGCTGACTAGTAGCTTAGCTCCTTCACTCTGATCTTTATTCATTAGATCACAAAACAAAACATTGCCACATTTCCCCTGTTTTGTCTAATTTAAAAAAGTGGTGTTTGCCTGATGGTTTTTCCTTCATTTCTTCTGAATTTATAAATTAGAACTTGATTATAAGGTAGAGCTTTCCTTTTTGCCCTCATTAATATTTATTCAGTTAATTTATTTACGTCAATATGATCTCATGGATAGTTAACTTAGGTGATTTTGTAATCCATTAGAATTCATTTTCTTGCTCAATTTTCCCCAAATTTAGCCACTGGAATTTTTTACAGCTTGTCTCCCATGTCCTTTCAACTGTTCCCCATCAGTTTCTAAGTAATTTTACTTTCTATTTAAAGTGGTTTTTAGGAGCAATAAGAGGAATTATGAAAATTCTAAAATGTTTTTTTTTTTCTTTTCCTTTTCTAGATTGCATTGGGTGTGTTGGGTGGACTGGCTGTGTTATCATCTCTTTTGAAGACAGCAGGGTGGAAGAGGCGCATTGGGAGCCCCATGATTGATTTACAGGTACACTCAGTTTTTAATGAATTTTTTTATGTTTTGACTATTCTGGATCTTTTCCATAAGATACAGATAGAAGATGAGTAAGGAAGTTGCCTTTGATTTTCTGGAGTGTAAGTTAGGAAACTCATTCTGAGGCCATAGAACATATGCAACTTGACTTTCTTACCAGGATCCCAAGGTCTATCCACATTCCCACCACCACTTTTATTTTTGCCTTTGCCAATGCCTGATATTTTCCAACATTAACATGTTTGCCCCATATAGTAGTCTATATCAAGATGTCATTGTTGGCCTCATTTTCTTTATTTTGTTTTACTATTCATACACTTTAAAGGTTTTATTTTATTTATATATATATATGGTCTTTTGCTTGCATGTACACCTGTGCACTATGTGCTTGCCTGGTGTCCACAGAAACCAGAAGAGGCACCAGATCCACTGGAACCTGAGTCATAGATGGTTGTAAGAGGCCTTGTGGATGCTGGAAGTTGAACCCCTGGAAGAGCAGAAAGTGTTCTTGACTGCTAAGCCATCTCTCCAGGCCTTTATATGCTTTTTAAATGTTAAGACTTTCTTTTTGTCAACAGTTTAGCTCTCTTGCTCATTTTTTTAATTAGGTTCCTTGTTTTCTTTTTCATATGAAGGAGCTGTCTTTTCAAAATATTAATCTCCTTATTTTTCATGTTGAAATGTTTTGTGCAAATTTATGAGCTACCTATTATCCATGCCTTTAACATTCAATATATAATTAACATTTAACATTTAGTTATTTTTCACACTGTTACATGAATTTTGTGTTTGTTATATATATTATGTTCTTTTTGTTTAGGAAAACTGGCCCATCTCAACACCAAAAAAGATTTTACTCCATTACCTTCATAGTTTACTTCTCATTTAATCTTTAAAATTTTTGATTTTTTTTTTTGCCTATCATTTATTAAATATTTACTGTGTACCAGGCACATTTTTAAGCTTTATATGTATAGTTTACTTAACCTTCACATAGCTCTATGTAATTGAGCATTATTATTATTCCCATTTTATATATGATAAAAGTGAACTAGAGCTTAGATTTTCTGCTTAATTTTTGCAGTAACTCAACAACAGGTGTTGTTTCTATTTTGCAAAGCAAAAGCATGAGAAAGGTTTGTAGTCACTGTTTAATCAGCGTGTCTTCCTGACTCCAAAGCCAGTATGATAAGGAGTCAGAGCAAAGGGCTTGTGCTCCTGTATGGGAGAGTCAAAGAAGGCCTTTCATACAGGTAAACTCTAAACTGTTCATTCCACAGTGGTCACTGCAGGTCTGTTGTAGAGTGCCAAGTCCTGGGGAATGTGGTAGTGACAGATACAACTGAGCCTGCCCTTATAGTTCGTGATAGAGAAAGGGAAGAATATTTGACAAAATTGTGACAGTTGCTTTCCAGAAAGCTTTTCCAGTATTTGAGATGGAACTGTGAAGTGGATAGCATTGAGTGAGTGTTGAAAGCCAAGTAGAAAGTTGACTTTGGTCTATACTGAGAAGGATCTTGTGGGTCAAGAATTTAGTGAGTAGTCACTGTATATTTTTAAGAAAAAAAGTGACATAATCTAATTTACATTTGAGAAAGCTAATTCTAGGGTCTAGAGATGTATCTCAGTATATGCCTACCATGAGCAAGCTTCAATCCTCTTGTGTAACAAATAATAATGTTACATAATAATAACTGTGAAAATATATAAGATAGATTTGGGTAGCGATTCCCAACTAAGGTAATTTGGAAGCAGTTTCCATTTTCTCATAAAGTGAAAGATGAGGTAGATTGAAGAGGAATGGAATGAAAAGGATTCAGGAGAAATGTAGCAGGCAAACTCAGTTGGTCTTGTAACTGGTAGCATATGGATATGAATGGCCAATATATTAATATTATTAGAAGTAATACTGAGTGGGCTAGAGAGGCCCAATGATTAAGAGTGTACTGCTCTTGCCGGGCGTTGGTGGCGCACGCCTTTAATCCCAGCACTCGGGAGGCAGAGCCAGGCGGATCTCTGTGAGTTCGAGGCCAGCCTGGGCTACCAAGTGAGCTCCAGGAAAGGCGCAAAGCTCCACAGAGAAACCCTGTCTCGAAAAAACCAAAAAAACAAAAAAACCAAAAAAAAAAAAAGAGTGTACTGCTCTTGCAGAAGACCCAACCTCAGTTCCCAGCATCCATGTTGGACAGCTCCACCTGCAGGGGATCTGATGCCCTCTTCCATACTCTGCAGGCACCAGCACTCACATGGTGTGTTTGTGCACACACATACACAGTCTAAAATAATAAAAATAAACAAATAAATAAATAAGAAGTAGTAATATTCAAAAATAATAAAAATAAATAAAAAGAAGTAGTAATATTCATGGGCCGATAAGACAGCTCAGTAAAGTAAAGACACTTGCCACACAAGCCATCAGACCTGGGTTCTATTCCTAGAACCCAAATAAAGGTAGAAGGAGAGAACCAACTCCATAAATTATCTTCTGACCTCTAAATGCATCTTATGGTAGTCAACACTCATGCACCCACTTCATGCACATACACAGAGGAAGAAGAAAATATTTTTATACTTTAAGTTCTTAAAGTAAAGGTAGTACTTTTGTTATTCCCATTTTATATGTTATGACAATGAAGTAGAGCTTATATTTTCTGCTTAATTTTTGAGAAGAAATAAATGTAATAAGAAGGTAATAAATGAAAATAAATGGAATCTTTAACAATTGTAATTCCTTTTAAATTGCAGACAGTTATGAAATTCTTGATGTATTATGCTGGTGATCTGGCCAATGTGTTTTTTATCGTCACAGTGGGAACTGGTCTCTATTGGCTTATTTTCTTCAAAGTGAGTGAATTTCTGAATTTAACCCTAAATGCCAATATCTGAATGACTGGTAAGCTGCTTTAGTAGCAGAACTCTTTGGGGTCATTTCTGCTCAAGGTCATTGAGGCAGCTGCTAGACTCCTCGCCTTTGGTGCACCACTTATTGGGGCTGTCACTGCTTGTCACCTATGCTTCCTTTGGTTTATAACTGGTGACCTGACAGCCTTATGTGGTTGTTATTTTAGGCACAGAAGTCTGTCTCTGTCTTGCTGCCGATGCCAGTCCAGGAAGAACGCTTCGTCACGTACGTGGGGTGTGCCTTTGCTATGAAGGTGCGTGTCAAAGGACAGGTGACTCGGTTTCACGGGACTGCTGAGAAGCTGCTGAGTTGTTCAAATTCGGATGCTTTTATGACTTTGGTGTCAAATTTGTTTGATTTTGAAAGAAAGCATCCATCATTTTATTGTACATAGGAAATGTGCCTTTATTTATAATATCCCATTTAAAGTTATGCCTTAAATCAAATTTTCAAAGAAGTTATAAATATGCCTGAGCAATCATGAGCTGCCCCTAATTTGATAAAATGATATTTCAATATTTAACATTTCTGTTAAAATCTGGCAATGTGTTCACAATGGGACAATTATCTTCCATCGCAGATTTTGTCTCTTTGTTAATGAAGAGTAACAGCCAACTCTGATGAAGCACTGAAATTGTATAAGCTATTATTGATCTCTCCTCCTCATCTTTCTGTGGCAACCACCCCTCAGCATGTTCTCATCCATGTAGCTGGCAACTATTCACATACACTCACCCCCTTCGCTTTTGGGAGTGAAATATCTGTTTTACCCACTGAGAAAGTAACTCTTCAGGACAGTTACCCTCCTGTAGTTAGATTTTTGTTCTTTGATCAGTCATGCTCCAGGGACGAGAACTAGGCTTAACTGACCACTCCTGTAAAGGAGAGAAAGGTGTGTCAACAGCCTCCGCTTTCTGTCTCAGACCCAGAGACAGAGTAGACAGTAGGGCAGCTACTGCTTTCACCGGGCTTTGCAAATTACCTCCCTCATAAAGAAGTCAGGTGACGTACAGAGCCGGGAGGGAGTCATTTAAGCCAGGGTCCTGTAGGGGAGGGGAAGGAGGATAGCTCCTCTTTTTCATGTTCCTATTTTAAGGACAGAAAGAAAAAAGAAGGTGAATTAATAGGTGTGTGACAGTTGTATACACTTGGTGATTCAGAATGTTTGAGGTACTGTTGTGATTACACTGTGCTTTGAAGAATCGTGTAGGTTTTATAATTGGTCTTAAGTACTGACACTTCTCAGGTGTTTTGTTGCATGTTATTTTTAGGCTCTACAATTTTTGCATAAGCTCATATCCCAGATCACCATCGATATATTCTTTATTGATTGGGAACGGCCAAAAGGAAAAGTTCTTAAAGCTGTTGAAGGTAACTGAAATCAGTGTTTGGACCAGAATTCTTTCCCTGCCTTGCAGAGCAAAGGAGAAAAGCTTTTACTCATTTTGTCTCCCTTCCCAGGTGAGGGTGGTGTACGGAGTGCCACTGTTCCTGTGAGCATCTGGAGAACATATTTTGTAGCAAACGAATGGAATGAGATTCAGACTGTGAGAAAAATTAACCCTCTCTTTCAAGTGCTTGCCACACTCTTCTTTTTGGAGGTATAAACTGTAATACAGTCATTTGATGCAACCGAATGAGCTTCTTACTAGCACTTCATGAATGTGACTAGAATCTTCCGTTCTCAGACGGTGGGACATTTTTCTGTGGTGAAGTGTTGTTGTCAAAACAGTTTAAGGGAATGTCTCATTTCTCCCCGTTTATCCTTCCTAAAAACAAACCAAAGCAAAAACTTAGCTAAGTTGTGACGAAACACGTGGAAGCTTCACCGTCTGGACCACTTACGTAGACAGGTCAGTGCTGTAGGAACATTCGTGCTCCTACACGAATGCTCCACCACCATGCACCTGCAGAGCTCTTCAGACCCTTCCTTCCCATGCAGCACTCCATCGTGCAGCCACTCGGTCCTCTTCCCTGCAGCCCCGGGGTCTCCACCATTCCTTTTGAGTCTCCGTGGGTTTGAGTTCTCCGGGGTTTAGAGAGTAGCATTAGTACCAGTGGTCCACAGCAGAATTCCATGGTGAACTTGTATAAAATACCTGTGTACATTGTCACTGCAGATTATTTTTTTGGTAGCTTTTAGGTGATCTCATCTGTATATTTTCAAACATCTCCCTTCTACATGACCTATATTCCCACCCCTGCCTCAGAACCAACCACTGTTGTATGCTTGCTGTATTACAGCTACTTGGGAATTTGAGGTGAGAGGGTCACAAGGTCAAGGCCTGCCTGGGCTTCAGAGTAAGTTCAAGGCTAACCTGGACAACTTAGCAAGACCTTGTCCCCAAGTAGTTATAGGAAGGGGGGAGATCAAGTGCAGGAGGGTATAGCTCAATAATAGAGAAGTTACTCTATTACAGTAGAGTGTAATAGAGCATCCACGAGGCCCTAGGTTACTCTCCAGCAAATCCTCTCCACACCAATGATACGGTTTTAGTATACAGTATGATTTATCAATATCATATGTATTGTAGGATGGCTGAATTAAACTAATCAGCGCTTCTGTTGCCCCCCATACTTACCTTTTGAGTAAAGCAGTGTTGTTCTTTCTAATACTGTTTGACGAAGCCAGGTGTAGTAATAAGGGCTGTAACCCCAGCTCTCTGAAGGTAGAGGCAGAAGAGGATCAGGAATTCAAGGTCATGTACATAGCAAGTTCCAACCTAGCCTAGGCTAAGGATATCCTACTTCAAACCCCGAAAGAATAAAAAGGATTTGAATATTTGATGAATCGAAAGTATATCTCGTGCTTCTGCAGTTAACTTTGCAAAAACACTAGAGTAAATAAAATTGTATAGAAAGCTTACTATAAAAATTCTCAGAGCCTTTGTTTTACAAGGAGAAGAGACATAGCAGTCAATGTTATATACCATCAAACTTACTTAATTATGGCTTTATTTCATCCTAGAGGGTACATTCCTTGGAAGACATTTTGGAGTGTTGCTGGAGAGCTTCTCTCCAGGTTC